TATAGAGTAATGATTTTTCACGCCTCACAGATCCTAGACTATTAGTAATGAATCTGCAAATTAAACATAGAAGAATGAATTAGTGAACTTAAGAATAAAATCTATGAAGGAGTTCGCACCTCTAATTTTTATTTTTTTATTTTTTGAAATCAGATATAAGTTACAAGTTTAAATCACTGATTAGTCAGCAAATGACAGTACTCCACCTCAGTGAGCATGCAAGATCTGACAAGACCATGAGAGAGACATTGATTATGATACAAAAAAAAATTGAGACAGGAAGGGGGGTGGCATTGCTATAGTTTGAGAGCACATGTAATGCACTTGCTATGATAACATACAACCCTTGCAGGGCTTGTTAAGAGGCCCAACCTCCATCAGATCCCATGCCAAAACTCCTGCTAGTAATTACTGTGTCAGCTTTCTAAATGCTGTCTAAATCTCAGCTCTCAAGACTGATAGTTGCACAATTGCTTCTCTGAAATCCCTCTGGCATGCTAAGCACAACTTCTGAAATGGACTTAAATATTTACATACTCTAGTAGAAAGTTATTTTCACTTATTTCAATTGACTATTTTTAAAAATAAAACACAAACATGTTTTGCAGCCATAAAACTTGCCTGCTTCTACCAATAACCTCTTTTTGAACTCACAAGTGACTTGTCACATTTCAATGAAAAGGACAATGAATGGACTGAGTAAAGAAATGGTCCTCCATGCTTCAAAAGGTAAGGTATGTATGTGCTCCTTCACCAAATCACCTACTTAGACTTTTTCAGTCCAGAGTCTGGAGAGTTGGTGCTTACATTCTAAAACGTGTTTAAACAAACAAGCTTGTTTAAACAAACAGTATCTTAAGAGGGACCCATATGGTTATCTAATTGAAAAGTGCAATCTCTAGATTTTATACAGTCTTCTTTCTAAAGAAGAGCGGTACATAATTTCTAGCAATTGGTTTAAAAGAAATACACAAGTTAGTCAAGAAAATATAAACAGCAACAGTTTCCACTGTAACTTTTAAGTGTTGGTCCAATATTGCCTCCATAAAGATTTAAGGATCTAAATTTACCATAAATAAAATCAACCTAAATTTGCAAAAGAAAATGGACACTAAGCAATAATGAAGCATTCTGTATCTCTCATGCTTGTTTGCTACTCATTTGCACAATTTATGTTCCTCAAAGTGGGTTTCCAGTTACTCTGCTTGTCTGGCCTAGTTATGCATAGATTATGCATTAGAGAGAGAGAGATCGAGTGCTTTGAGTGCACTGATTGAGCACTTCGAGTGCTTCTGAAGGTGTTATAGTTTGTGTTATTCAAAAGAAACTTGGTTAGTTCAAAATACAACTACAGCTAGCAATCACTACAGTGTTAATACAAGCCAGGGCAACTCAAAGGTTTGAGAGTACTTTAGGAAATTCAACACTATCCACTGTAAGGCAAAGGGGAGAATTTTTAATCATTCACGTGTGCTCACATTTATCAATATTAATTACCCTAAAGGATACGTTTAAACTGAAAATTGTCAAATGTACCTGTTAACAGTAGGGTATTCATACAGTGAGGAATGGATATGTGGATATATCAGGAAAATCTTGAGAAGAAATGCTGAGTTACATAAAGCATCCTCAATACAATTTTCATACTGATTTGTTTCACTAATTACTGTTGCTATACCACAAGTATTCCTCTATTTAGATACTAAGAAGCAATTGCATATATCTTTGTTCATGACCTATGGCTGATCACAGACTTTTGTTACCGTTTCCTGCTCAACACTCCAACACTACCAAGTATTTGAGGCAAGCCAGTTTCATAATAAACCAAATTCTGGTTTGCACAATAGACTGAACAAGTCCCAGAATGTTTCACTTAATGGATATGGAGGCAATTTGCTATGAAGCATTTCTGAATACCTGTACAAATTTTGGACAAATTTTATGAAGGCAACAATCCTAACAAGCAGCTTATATACTTCTTGGAAAGGAGGGATGGGGAAAAGACCTACTTACCACTTTTGGGAGAGGAAAGAAATATAGCTACCTTAAGTCTACAACCTATTTTTGTTCACCTTGCCACCACATATCTTTAACAAATCTCAGAAGCAATTCACAGGAGGAGGGGCACATTTTTGCACTACAAGTCATCCACTCTAGCTCGCTGTTCCTTATTTGTCAATGTGATGTAATTTCCTTTTTTTCCTTTGACTTTCTGTTTAACATAAGTACCTGAAATAGAGTCCCCTTTTAATATTTAAGTATTTCAGACTTCCAAATGGACATTTAAAAGCCTGAATTACCTTACTGTACTTTCTGGAGTTCCACATACCTAAAAACAAACAAACAAAACAAGGGGGGGGGTGGAAGTCACCACCAAAACCCAAAACTAATGAAACAACAACAAAACACAACCCCCAAACAAACAAGGAACCCCCATAACAATAAACCCTTTGTTCTCTAGTGGTCATATCAACCCTTAAGTGCTTTTGTCTTTGAAACCAGACAAATGCTCTGTGACTGACACCTAGCAAGAATAAACTTACAAGAAGGTTGTTTTAAATCTATTCATTTAATGCCTTGATCTTATTTACTAGGCATCTAAGCTCCACTGCGCATTTTCACAAAGTAAACTGTGTCCCAGAAATAATAAAAGTAAATATAGGTCCCCAAAGACGTTCCATTAGAGGAACTTTACTCTTTAGGGTTATTATACAAATGAGGCATACTTGTAACTTTGAGAGTTTTTACTACATTCTCTCAACCACAAATGGCCCATTCTGTTGTAGAGCATTTAACACGACCACCTAGTGCAGACATAGAAGTGCTGCTCAAATCATATGAGGTTGCAAATAAAATAAATTCTACAGCTATACCCCAGAAGATGATGGGCATAAGGTTAGAGACTAATCAACTGCACAGACCACATATTGAGATTGTAACAGTCATCTATTTGGGAATATAATTCAAGAACTGCAGTTCATCAAGGAGTTAAGTTTATTTAAAATCTGGGCTACCATTTCATGGTCCTACACAGCAACTGGGAGGAACCTGTAAATTGCCAACAGAAAACTAATAATTAAATAGTAAGACAACTGCCTTGCCTCTGCTTGTCAAATTTCAGATGCATGTTTAAGGTATGGTACTTCATCCTCTTGAAAATTTTAATGTGAATATAGCCAGCTTACATTCAGGAAATAAAAATTCCTTTTTAGCTGACTCAGTCATAACCATGGCATTAGACTCGCTGTGATAAGTTTTAATTCTGTTTTTCATTACAGAGAAGCGGAACTGTTCTCCTCTGAAATAATTCCTGTATTGCAGAGGATGACAAAGGGCTTTACCAGTAAGCCCCCTCAAAAAATTGTCTTTTACTTAATAAACAAAATGTCCCATATCAGAAAATTGGTAAGGAAAGAAAGCTAAGTCTAAGCATAAAGTAATGTGGGTGAATAGAGCAGTTTTGTTTCCTCTGCATCAACTTCATTGACAAGTAGTAAAAACTTCAAATGTGTTTGTGATGCAGATACATTGTTCACCTGGCATTCAAAGACCCAAGAATCCCCGAACTGACCAAACGCACCTTGTCACCAGAGCCTTTCCCATCCAGTTTATCAATCCTGAATTAAGCTTTGTTATCCTTAGATCAAGCATGAGGAGATTTAGCTTACTGCTTCAGCAACTGCACATGGTTCTTAGTCAGTTCACTGGTGGCACAAGATCACTGAAGTGTCAGAGGGATCCGGACTGCTCACGCTGTGTAACCACCACGGTGCGTGTTCAGAGCGCACACAGGCTTCAGAGATACACCAAATGCTTTAGGAGCACAGCGATGTCTCCGGATTTAAACCCCACCGAGAGGAGCTATTTTTGAAAACCCAGGGTGCTAAATCGCCGAGAAACGCTTAGGATGGCTAAATCAAGCCGTCCTAAATTAAGAGCGCAAACAGCCCGCACCGCGACCCCTTGTTTTTGCCCGAAAGTCGCAGAGAGGAGCGAGAGGAACCCGATACCGAGGAAAACTCCTGAGGAAAACGCGCGGCACGCCGCGTTGGCTGCCAGGCACGCGAGCACGGCCACCGCCAGTCCCACCCCGCTGCCCTCCCGAACGCCGCCGCTCCCCGTGACGGCGCCTCCCCGCCGAGCCCCCGGCGCTGCCCCCGCTGCCAGGGGGGCGGCAGGGGAAGCGCCGCCGCCGCCGCCGGGCACCCGGAGCCGCCCCGCGGCCTCGCTCCGCGCCCGATGGCGTGGGCCGAGCCGCGCCGGGACCGCGGCTCCGCGCCAGCCTCCAGGCCGGCTCCGCCGCTGAGGCCCAACCGAGCCTCGGCGTCCCGTGGGGGGGTGCGGGAGGCCGCCCTGCCCGGCCTCTCCCCACCGGAGGGGCCCGACGCGGTCCCGGGCCGCGGCCGAGCCCCGCGGGGCGGCTCCGGGTGCCCGGCGGCGGCGGCGGTGGGAGCGGCCTCAGCCGGAGCCGGCAGCGGGGGGGCCCCGCAACCGCTCTCGCCCGGCGCGGGGCGAGACTGAGGCGCTGTGGGGAGGGGGTGGGGGGGGAGCACTCACCCCGGGCGCCTCACGCAGCTCCGCATGTCCTCGCGCGGCCGGCGGCGCCACACACGCATGCGCCGAGCCGCCACAGCGCCCGATCACTGCCGCGGCGCGCGCGGACGAGCGCTTTTATAGCGGGGGGCGGGGCCTCCGGGGAGCCACGCCCACTCCACGCCACGCCCCCTCCGCCTGCCGCGGGCACGGCAGGAAAAGTCTTAAAGGGGCGATGGCAGCGGCAGGGCCTTAGTGGGGAGGGGGGGGGGGGACACGGCGACACCGGGCAGCGCCGCCGCTGTGGGGCCCCCCCCGGTACCCAAACCTGCGGGCGGGCCGCCCCCGGGCGCAGCGGAAGCCGCGTTGGCTGGGCGGGGGCGAGAGGAGCGCGAGGCCGGCCGGGAGCTTCCGCCGGAGGGAGGAGGGACGAGGAGGAGGGGGGGGGGAGGAGCGGTGCCTCGTGGGGGGGGCGGCGGCAGCGCGGGGCTCGCGCCCGGTGCCGCTGCCTCAGCTCCGGGAGCGCCGCGGGAGCCGCGCCGTGAGGCACCGGCCCGGCCCGGAGGAGCCGCCCGCCGCCAGCGGGTGCTCGCTGCCCTCCTCCCGACACGAAGCGAGCTGCGGAAGCCGGGCCAGGCGCTGAGGTGCTGCGTTACCCGTCCGTGCCCGCCGGTGAGGAGCGTTCCGGGAAGCGCCGCGGCTTGCTGCTGTGAACATTGGTTTTCCGGGATTTTGTCCTGAGATTAATTCGTTTTTACGTTTAATTAGGGATCTTGACTAATTATACGTGAATTACCACAGATTTGACAGTGTGTTTTGTGTCCAGAGTTAGCGTTTGTGTGATAAACTGGAGCGGCTACAGCAGTAAGATTCTCAGCGGGAGGTGTTCTGCAAATATAAATATAAATTTATAAACCTATATAAATATATAAATACAAATATAAACCTACACAGATTTTTTAAAATTATAGTTATTTTAAAATCAGTTCTGCTTTACGGTGCAGTCATTGCTATGGTGATGAAAGAAATGTCAGCAATGGTCTCTAAAATTCCTATCACTGAGAACTACTGATGATAGTTAGAAAATGCACGTGCTGTATTCCTTGAACTGGAATACAGGTGACCAAGAAGGAAAAATGCTTCATTTCATTTCACAGCTGAGTTTTGGTTTTCCTTTTCACTGCTGCACTATGTGGAGCACGTCTGCAGTTGAAAATCCCTAATCTGCTTCATTTTTAAGGACAGTAAGGTATCCTACTGTATATTTGTATTATAAGAACTGTTGTCTTGTACCAACGAAGGTGATGTGCAAAAGGGAAAGGATAAGAATTTGAAGAGATTTTTTTTTTCCCCTTAGATGTGAGAAATAATGAAGAGAGGTCCTCTAAAGCTGGCTACATGTGTAAGCAGATGAGAGAAGGCAAAGGACAAAGGGGGGTGGAAGCCATCCAAAGAAAAGTGTAGAGCAGACAAATGAGGTTATGGTTTTGATGAAATAAAACACCCTGTGGTAGGGTGGAACTGCACTATGTTGTGCCTGGTCCCATGCTTAGACAGAGGGGCAGCTAGTGGTGATGCCTTACAATGTGATGTGGTCTAAGACTTATTCCGAATGGTCTACTATGAAATGCAGCAGGATTTATCTACCCCTTAGTAAGGAGTCAGTTGGGAAAAGAAAACCTAGCAAAAAGCAGTGCAGAAGGTGGTCTGTGAATAAACCTTTCCATCATGGAAAGTTATGAATTTTATCATTATATGATAGTTTAAAGTTCAACACATCAGCCTACTGACTTCCAAAATGAATGAGTTGTCATATTCCTTGTCTCTTCCCTAAAAATCGTGGTCTTTACCTCAAGCAGAATCAAGATATGCCCAGCAGAAATGGAACTTAGTGTGATCATTACGTAGTTTCATTTCATATGTTTTATTCAGGTCCTTATCTTCTCTTCTGCTTTGTGGTGGTCTGACAGTGTGTCTACATACGAATTTTGAGGTTAAGGAATCTGTGAGTTACTCTTACTATAGTGATGTATGCATTATGACCATGTCAGCAAAATAAAGAGAACAAAACTTAGTTACTTAAGTTTTCAACCTATCAACCTGAAGTGACAGAAATTAACTGGAGCATCTGTTAATCTGGAGGAAATCATAACACATACAGGTTGCATCAGAACTGCTTATGGTCTCACTGAATTCGTAGCGAGTCAGAGGCTATCATGCAGCAGTTGTAAAGTCGTGCTGGTACGTGAGTAAATAAATTGTCTTGCCTATATTACAAGCAGATAAACTTTATGCCTCTTCTTACTGTACAGGGGGATGTTATGTAGTGTACTGTGGCACGTAATTTGGGGTAGAGAAAGACGTGGGTGTGTGAGGAAGAGGCAGAGACAATGAGTTTCATTAACAGTGTAACGTTAATAAATACTACAAGCAGTTAATAGATAACGTTAATAAATACGATAAGCAGTGCAGACTCTTGGATTACAATGGCAACAATATACAGCTGTGCACAGCTGATGCTCAAATTCTGTCTTATACAGGGCCCATTATTCAGGCTTTATATGAATTCACCTTATACAAGACTTTAAAGCAATTGGATAAAGCTAAATTGCCTCTTAAGTCATCTGTAGAAAATGACACAGATAGGGAATCTTTTATGCTTCAGGCACATGGAAGTGGTTTGTTGTGGAAAGGTACTATTTAAAGTGGAAGTACGGCATGGCTTTTGTGAGCTCTCATCTGTGTACCTTCATTAAATCTGAACGCTGCAAATGCCAGAAGTGTTAGCATGAGTTGGAAAAAAAATGTGCAGAGACTGATGAAAGAAAAATCCATTCAGGCTGTAGAGAAAGTGCCTTGTGTCAGGCTGTTGTGAGAGGACATTGCCCACTGCCCTAATCATCTGTTGTTTTCCTTTTTCCCTAAGCTAGAAGCAATATTGTCTTAGATGGACCTTGGATTTGAGCCAGCATTTGGCTATTCTTAGGATGTATCTGTATTTTGCTCTCCCTTCTATATTTCAGTCAGACATTTTCATCATGTTCTGCCTATGCAACTGGGTATGCAGTGATTAGATTCTGCATACAAAATTCAGCTTAGGTCCCTGTCTATGCAGATTGGCCTGCCCAGGGGAGGTGGTGGAGTCACGGCCCCTTGCAGTGTTCAGGAAGCATCCTGGATGAGGTGCTGAGGGATAAAATGTAGTAGCTTAGTGAGTAGTAGTTGGTGACAGGAGGACGGTTGGACTAGATGATCTTGTAGGTCCTTTCCAAACCTGTGTTTCTATGATTCTTCCAGGAAAGGACTGCTCTGTTCTTTGAGTTTGGGGTCAGCAAAGAAGGGAACAGGATTAGGAGAGTGCAACGAAACATTTTCAGTGTAAGGATTTGTTGTTGTAAATGAGGAACGTATGTTTATTTGAGTGGTCAGATTTGTATGAATGCAGTTACACCAGGGAGGTACGGGGCAGAATGAATGTGCTGCGTTTCCAGTTTAGCCAGAAGACCCACAGAAGGGAATAAAAACTCATGGGTCAGTAAAGGAGGGCTAAATTAGAGGTTAGCATATGCAAGTGTCTAGACAGCAAATACAGACATACTGCAAAAGTCAGTCTGTCAGGGAGTGGAGAGTCTAAATTAAAAAGCCATTTCAAAGGCATGTTGCCTGGATGGGGTAATCATGTGCTCAGACTTCTTCAGTACACAAGCATAAGCTGAGTGAGGGAAGAGATCAAAAAAGGACAAAGATTGACACACATTCTGTAACAGCTTAGACTGGAATGGAACTTGATAATTTAAAAATAGCTGTTTGTTCACACTTGTGTTTCCCAGCAGTGGGCACAGTCACATCTGTTTTTTTTTACTATCCATCCTGTAATATTGGAATGCTTTGGAGAAATATTACTTGTATATTGCTGATGTAGAGACACTGCTTGCTTGCTTGTTCCATGTCATATGGAATTCTTTCAGGGCACTGTAGAGAGACTTTCCGTAGCAGAACACTGGTAGGATCAGCAGAAACAGGGGAGCTGACTCAAATCTCGGATTATCTGCTTCTTCACAGAGCTAGAGGGCTTGCTGTGAGCTGATTGCTTCAAACTATGTTTTTATGCCCTTTAGGTGTACTGTTTCCACAGGAGTGTAGCGTTTTGCATCATAATAGTTTGGGGGAAGTTTTTGGAATCTATCCACTTGCAGTGTAAGGTTCTGCAGCATGACCAAAGTTTTCATCCTTCCTGAAGGACATAGGATTGATAGTCTATTACTGTGACATACTAGACTGTTCCTTTTCCAGTGTACTTTTTCTTCCACGGTGAACTCCCACTACATAGATGCCTTTCTTGCAGCTAATCTAAAAGGGTTGAGAACAATAGGATGTATTCACACAGCATTTTGCAGGTAGACATTGGTTTTGGTGGTTGTTCTTCCAAACAACTAGAAGCTATATGATTAGTGGTTTGTAGTGCTTAGCTTGCGCTATTACACCTTGCCTTGTATGTTGGCTTTGATAAATGGACAAAGTGAGCTTGCATCTGAAAGCTGTAGAACGCCCATGTGTGTGTCTTTGTGTGTTTATTACCCCTTCCAGGGAAGGATTTCTCTTCCTTGCTGCAAGAGGTCTCAACTGTTTTGCCCATTGCAGAGTGTTTGAAACAAGGGGCTCTGAACTGGTCCTGACACAAAGCAGTTTGTTTATTAGGCTCTATCAAAGTCGCCAAGATAAAGAACATGAATTAGATCAGGTATGCATCAGTGGAAGGAGCCAGTCCCAGGTGATCCCATGCACTGCCGTGTATGCTGCTGAAGTCAAGTGCCTACTGAGTTGTGTTGTGTAGCATCAGATGCATGGATTGCTGTGGCCAGACCCATCTTTGTCAAGACAGACCAGGAACTCTTCAAAATAAGTAAACGTTGTCAGCACCTGTAGATGTTGGGTATTTTGTATTGGCAAGTCTAGAAGTGCTCGGTCTTTCAAAGTCTTCATAACTGGTTGCTAGACTTGAGTGAGATTGAAAAGAGTGGTAGTAGTCAGTTCTTTGCTTTCTCTGTGCCTTTCCCATGGTTTGCTTTATCATTTTTATTAATGGCAACACCACAGTCAGCTCCTTTGATAAAATTGTTTATGTGCAGAGAGTCACTAATTGGTATGATTTGTGTTCTCTACAAAATAAATTTTAAGTAAAGCTGTCAGCCTAGAAGGATAGCTTACCATTAAAAACGTAACATAGGGATATTTCAGAGATTTTACATGAGCTGAGAGTGGAGTAGTGTAAGAGTAGGCCTGGCTTTGGTGAGCCAGGGAGGTAAGAGCAGACTGAGCAAGTGTGGGGTTAAAGATCAGCTGGTTCTCATTCTGAACCAGTGATTTCAGTTTTAAAAACTATATATAGAAAAATGGTATTTGGAAACAGCATGAAGTATATCATTGTAGAAATTAATAGTTCAGTAACTTGACTCCCGAACACTGCAAAGCTAATTTTATTTGTATTTGAGATTCTGCCTAAAAAGCTCATGGGGAAGAGGACATGACAGTCCACTGTCCAGTTTTATTTTGAGATGTGTTATGTATTTGCACTACTGATCCTTTACTATGGACATCCCCATCAAAGTGAGACTGTGCTACTGGATTTGGCTCTGGTTTTTTGATCATGTCAAAATCTGACATAAATTTTC